ATCATAATGGTAGTAGTGGGATCCGGGGGAGTTGTTAAAGGTACAAAATAGTGGGATCCGGGGGAGTTGTTAAAGGTACAAAGTAGTGGTAGTGGTGGGATCCGGGGGAGTTGCTTAAGGTACAAAGTAGTGGTAGTAGTGGGATCCGGCGGAGTTGTTAATGGAACAAAGTAATGGTAGTTGTGGGATCCGCTGGAATTTTTATATACGTTTTCATTCCATTTCCACCGCTAGGATGTCGCTATTTGTCAAAGTGTAATGATCAAAATTGCCGCGATGTAGTTATCATCTTGGTTTGTTCATACGTTTTGACGTCATAGGTTCAATGAGGCGGAACAATGAGGCAGCAGCTGTTTAGATGGTTGATCTGTAGCAACCTTCACCTTGGTGGTCGAGAAGTTGTTTACATGCAGCATAAATATTATTTCGACAAGTGTTTATCTCTTCAACTGGTTTGTCGGCTTGTTTTGCAACGGTGCATGTGACATCCCTTCCGCTAATGTTACGTAACATGTAAATTTCATTGATCGATGAACGCAGCACATGAAATCGACTCACAGGTGTTATACAACTGTATGTACTGGAACTATATGACGTCAGAGGTAATCCATTGCTGCGATTCTGACAGAAAAAGACTCCCACGCGCTCCTTTTCCTTAGATATACTACGACGTAATTGAGTCGACATCAGCACGATGTTTTCTTCATCTCGTGTTGCATAATCAGTTGACTTACATGTTAGATACTCTGATCACACAAAACAGCACACATTTGTAAATCGACAGCAAGTAACAAGAAGTGTCAACCACAATTGACTTCATCATGTGTCTGTACTTTTTTTACTTATACACGTATGGAACATAATCCCCGACCAGAGATTTTACAAGACCATAAGACTAGAAGAGGCGGACGGAAATAAATGATATGACAATTACAGATAGAACAGTTACTGACGAAAGGACAGAAATAAACGATAGGACAATCAAAGACGATAGGACAATAATAGACGATAGGACAGTACTAGACGAAAGGACAGTACTAGATCACAGGACAATAATAGACGCTAGGACAGTAATAGACGATAGGACAATCACAGACGACAGGACAGAAATATACGATAGGACAATAATAGACGATAGGACAGTACAAGACAACAGGACAATAAGAGACGATAGGACAGTACAAGACGACAGGACAATAATAGACGAGATGACATTACAAGACGATAGGACAATAATAGACGACATGACAATAACAGACGATAGGACAATAATAGAGGATATGACAGGTAATAGATGATAGGACAGTACAAGACAACACGACAATAAGAGACGATAGGACAGTACAAGACGACATGACAATAATAGACGATAGGACAATAATAGAGGATATGACAGGTAATAGATGATAGGACAGTACTAGACGATAGGACAATAATAGAGGATATGACAGGTAATAGATGATAGGACAGTACTAGACGATAGGACAGTATTAGAGGATATGACAGGTAATAGATGATAGGACAGTAATAGACGATAGGTAGGTGCAGAGGACAAGACAGAAATAAAACCATATGACAGTTACAGACAACAGGAGAGTAACAGTCGGTAAGGATTTCGATATGTAATGAAAGTTAAATGTGTTTGATGTTCGTAAGTATGTCTATGGGTTCCGTTGTGTGACGAATTTTGATGTGTTTGATGCTTGTTAGTATGTCTAGGGGTTCCGTTGTGTGATGAATTTTGATGTGTTTGATGCTCGTTAGTATGTCTAGGGGTTCGGTTGTGTGATGAATTTTGATGTGTTTGATGCTCGTTAGTATGTCTAGGGGTTCGGTTGTGTGATGAATTTTGATGTGTTTAATGCTCGTTAGTATGTCTAGGGGTTTCGTTGTTGTTGAAGTTGTTTTCATTTGGGAACGTGACAATACTTAAAAGAAATCTGTTGAACTGAATAAGCAGTGTGCATGGACCACATGGAACCTCCCGGAGAGAAAGCTTACATGGGCTGAATTGTGGAGGATGGAACCCTTCAGGATCTCGTTCATACTTAGATCAGTGTATGACACTCTGCCATCGCCCGTCAATCTGCACTAGGTGGGAATGACAGAGGACCCGAACTGCACACTCTGCAATCAGAGAGGGTCAATGTGTCACATCCTGGCTTGATGCAAGCAGGCACTTCAACGCTGAGGCCTGGCATCGTGATGTCATCACAGCAGTTTAAACTCCTCATCGCAACAGTACTATGGGAAGAAGGTTGCGATGAGGCCCATGAAAGGAAGAAACCCGCGTATGACGAGCTAATAGCGGAGTGCAGAGAGAGGGAATGGACTGTGTGGCTATTTCCTGTGGAAGGCTGCAGAGGGTTCCCGGCCCAATCCTTATGGAGGATGCTACAGACACTAGGAATCACAGGAAGAACTCGAAGTGCAGCCATCAGACGTTTGGCAGAAGCTACAGAGAAAGCATCGTGCTGGCTATAGCACCGATGAGACGAGTCGATGTGGAAGCCAACGTAGACGAGCAGTGGTTTGACCACCACTGCTGACCCACCAGCCGGAGGATGTTGTGGTTTAGGGTCGAAACATCTGAAGAGGGCTGGATACCACCTGATGACGTCGACAGAGGCTTCGCAGCGGGAAGACACCAGTGACATGCTGCACACAAGGAATGTCACAGATAGCAGAATAAGATCATCTGTGAGTTATCATTTTGATTAATCACACAACTGTACCATAAAGCTGATAGGGTCTTATATGACTAGTACAATATAATTCGTCCTTCTTCAACTCCTTTTATCCCTCTTGGACTACCACAATTAAGCTGATTATGTCTTCTAGGGCTAGCACAATACAGGTATTTCGTCCTTCTTTTACTCGTGTCATACTGCCTTCTTGGAATTGTCGTATACAGTTGTTTTGTTTTCTAGAAAAAAAACAGCAAACAGCTGTTTCGTCTTTCTTTAAACTCGTATCATACTGCTGTTTAACTTTCTAGGACTTGCAGCATACAGCTATTTTTTCCCTCTAGGACAAGCACCATGCGGCTGTTTCTTCCTTCTAGGACTAGCACTAGTAAGGGTGCTGATGGGCTTCCGTACCTTGATGGTATCACAGTTGTTTACTCAGAATAACAGGAAGCTCCAGGATGACAGCTCGTTACGGTGGGGGCGTGGTAGATATTCTCTGTAGGTCTTGTGTGATCCTCATGTCTCCCGCTGTTACAAGGACACATGCACTCGCATGTATTACGTAACTTCGAGAGACCACTAAGCTTTATGACGTATGTTCTTCTATTTCCGGCAAATTTAAGTGTGCGGAAGTACATTTCGGAATGCCTTGGAATTCAGGTGTGGCTCCGAATGTACATTTGCACCTACTGCTAGCAAACTTAAAAGTATGTATCTCTGAACGCCAAAATCTTTTATTTGCCTACAGGCCAGCTTGGTTTTAATAGTGATAGTATTTTCCCTTAATATAGATTTAGTTCCAACAGGTAAATTTACCTGTAAAACTTCAACTATTATCACCAATATATATAACTTGCATCTTTCGTCTTTTATTTTGAAAGTTAATGACACTTTTTGTTAAATATAAATATGAAAAAATGCATTTTGATTTCGTATGATTGATTAATTTATCACATTTCAAATGATTAATTATCAATAATTCCCAATCTATATCATGATAACTGCATAACGTTTTTACATATCTCGAATATGTGTTACAAGATTGATGCTGTTCTCTATACATATCATAGGTTCTAATATGGCTGTAATTCATACGTTATTTAAAGCTTAATTGTATATGGACCAATGATATTTTGAGATCTTTCTTAGGTACAGCTGGTCACTGATATTAGTTTTACAATTTATCTCTAGGTGTCATCTATGTCGTTTGTGTGACAGTGAGGACCACTACGACTTGGTACCCTACATTATTCCAGCTGCCTTCCACTAAACATTTATCGTTAGTAGTTATCATCCTTTATATTAAAGTAAGATTTTAGTTATATTATTGTTTATATTATAAAAGGAATTTATAACGAAAAATACAATGACATCACTATAACATTTTTGTCTGCTTAATAAGTTCTATATATTGTGGATTGAAATTTTCTCGAAAATTATTTGTACATCAGACCACAGTCATTTACAATATTTCACTTAAGTATGGAACTACTCTAATTTCATTAGATGATATAACAATAATTTATTATACATTACAACAATATCTCGTCTTTCTAAAGACTTTAGACTAATAACTTAACTCTCTTGTTTTTTTATAACAATTAAAAGAGGACTTGCTTGTGCCCTGTTGACGAGTACATATGCAGCTTGGATTACTATTTCAAGACTTAATAGTACCTTCCAAATTTTGAATGATCAAGAAAAAATGTAATTGATCCCATTCTGATGGTTATTACAATGTGTACAAGTCTTGTCATTCAGTATTGTTCCTGTCTATTACAATGTGTACAAGTCCTGTCATTCAGTATTGTTCCTGTCTATTACAATGTGTACAAGTCTTGTCATTCAGTATTGTTCCTGTCTATTACAATGTGTACAAGTCTTGTCATTCAGTATTGTTCCTGTCTATTACAATGTGTGCAAGTCTTGTCATTCAGTATTGTTCCTGTCAATTACAATGTGTACAAGTTTTGTCATTCAGTTTGTGACCTTCACCTTTACGTGCTTTTCAGTTGTTTCAATTACTTGAGTCTCTTGGTCAGCATAGACCACGTGATATGAAATATGTCGGTACAGACCACGTGACATTAGATATGTCATTAAAATCCAGCGTTCCGTTTGTGTATGGTGTGTACATGTTCTCGTGAAATGGATTAGTTTTGAAGTTGATATGCAACGACACCGTCGATTGGAAATCTGCACCAAATAATAACCTGTTTAAACATTTTTACACTGGACACAACTCCTGGCCAAGATTATCAAATAAAGTGTTGAACCATACAAGTCTTCTCAATGATAATTAAACTCAAGTTTTATAATTTTCAATTTTTTAATGAGAGACAAAACGTTAATGATTTTTTAATAACTCACATACTCACTCTCTCCTGAAAATCTCATTCACATCCAATATTTCTATAACCGCCAAGTCTCACGAAACGTTCATACTCTGCTCCATAACGCAGTTCTTTCCCTAATCAGTGCCATCTTACATTTCATAATCTTGATCACCGAAATGCTTATCGCATTTGTATCATATGGTAGCTTTAATAACAAGCATAGCGATGACCAAGACTAACATTTATTTAAATTTTCCCATCACAATTGTGCGTAGAATTTTTAACAAGAAAACGTAAAGAATAAAGTGATCAGTACTGAGGTCCTGTTGTCAATGAAAATGATGTTCTTACATAAAGTACGAAAATTAACTATGAATAGACTCCCAACTCTATACGGTAATATCGTAGGCACAACGGATGCATCTGGAATGAATGCATATAACAAAAGGGAGGGATATACATATATATAATGTATATATATAATATATTTATAATCTATTAATGAAAATATCTTCTGCAGCTGATGTCCGTTAATTGAATGAGTTGTACATAGTACGCGACCTAAGTGAGGTCAACACCATAGCTGCACTGTATTCGTCAAACCGGAGTTCACCCGTCTTCTCCCTGTGGAAATACAAAAAGGGTACAAGTTACACTCTTAAACACAAAAACATAATTGATATTTTGTGATATTCCGTATCATTTCAATGTGATAATATAGAAATGAATAAAAGATTAGTACACCCTCTAAATTAGTCGTTATCTACAGTAACTAGACAGACCTGTTTGTTGTGACTATTTTTGTCTGCCTCGTGTCTACCAAATTATCTACAGTAACTAGACAGACATGTTTGTTGTGACTATTTGTGTCTGTCTCGTCCCTACCAAATTATCTACAATAACTAGACAGACCTGTTTATTGTGACTATTTTTGTCTGTCTCGTGTCTACCAAATTATCTACAGTAACTAGACAGACCTGTTTGTTGTGACTATTTTTGTCTGTCTCGTCCCTACCAAATTATCTACAGTAACTAGACAGACCTGTTTGTTGTGATTATTTTTGTCTGTCTCGTTTCAGGCGAAATAAAATTTGAGTAATTGAATAGATTAAGGCACTCGAATACAATCGACAGTATACAGTATACAAAATTCGACATCAGTCTTCTAGAGACATCGGACTCGTGGTAACAGTCATCCTGAATAAAGCGATCTATCTTTTGTATACCGAGACGGATTTCCCCCTTTATTTCAGACTGGTTTTTTTTTTATTAATCTAAACGTCAATAAACAGTCTAGGAATATTATTCATTTAATTGGGTTTTTTTTCATTTTGTGATTAATAAACATCTATTTTTCTTTATTTATTATTCATTTACAGTTTATATATTCTTAGTGAATTGATTTCATTTGTAATTTTATATTTGAAGCGAGTTTTGACCTTCACCGTTAAAATGATAGATTATCAATGGTTCATACCTCTGTTTGTTACGGTGTAGATTTATTGTCTATGATGATTGGTATAATTAGATTTCATCGACAACAATCAGCCACCAGTTGGTGCCGAGTATAATTTACTCAGCAAAGATCGGTATATATAAATTACGGAATAGTTAATGTCACTTTTTTACGACACCGTGTATAACCGGTTGCGTAAAAAATGACACTTGCCACCAATTTAGAGCAATTACGTAAATTTTCTGTATTTATCTATAGTACATTAGATACTATCAAGTCTTTGGGTTTTCCTTAATCACCGAAATGACGGGACAAAAAAACCGAAGTAGCGGGGGTAATGTTCGACCTGAAATCGCTGACCTAAATCGGAGGTGTCGTCTAGCATTATATCACCTGACGGGAAAATGCTGTAAAATTTATCTGGTTTTCATGAGATCTTTAATTCACAGCAGGATACCCGAGGTCTTCACATGTTTTCTTTATATGTCCTTCTACACGTAAATGTAGTCCTATTTTTTTTTTATTTTCATTGGTGAAGTTAAGTTTCTACCTCATTGAAAATGCCCAAGTAAAAACGATAAATGCACAAAGAGATGAAATGACGTATCGACTTCTTGATCCAAAACTGATGTGCAATCTAATTAAAGTTCAGTGTAACACGACTTTGACCAAATTAACCAACCAAGAGAAAACGCGTTAAAACATAATTAATTTCTAATTGTAACAAATTATAAAACTGAGATCAATCAATATGACGAAACGAAAACGTCCTGACAGGACACATTCCGTTCAAAAAATAGTCTAAATCAGGAAGACAGTTCCGTTCTTATAAACCATGGATAGTCTGATCAATCGCGGATTCTCCAAATACGGATTAATAAGAGCGTGCTAAGTTGACGTCACTGAACTATTCTGTTTGTGTTTAAGGCATGATGCTTCCGTGAGCTGATTACAGAAATAACAAAAATCATGTTTGTTTGTTTGTTTGTTTGTTTGTTTGCAGGGTTTAGTACCCCTAAACAGCCTGGTCATTTTGAGGTAGCCTATCTTTGAAGTAGATGGTGGCTACATCACTGAACAACGTAAGGGAGGTCAATCGAATGCCGAGGTAAAGTGTCCTGCCCAAGGACACAACCGCGACAATACAGGCCGGTCCGTTTCTCAGCTTCCTGTGAAACAAACTGACACAGGTAGGGAGTGTTGAAAACTGTATCAACCAATCAGATCGTGTTCTGTGTTTGATATTTCTCTTTTTTTTATCGTTCGTGTTCTGACATTTAGACTGATGAGCTTTCAATCCATCTGAATCCCTGTGATTTATTTTGACCCAGAATTATCTCATTTCAAATCCTAAGAATAGTGGCACAATTACGAATATACAAATTTTGCAATAATAAAACACCTTTTTAATTTTTCTTGTTTTTATTTGTTTGATTGTTTGTTTTCCTTGAAGAGAGATTACTTTTCTTTAATTCAAATATCTTTCGTCGTTTCAGTTGAAGAAGTTTAAGGAAATTTGTCTAAGCTAAGGATTCATACAACAACAAGACCGAATGCCATCATTCCTTCCTTTGCTATGTGGGGCGAAACTAATAAACGGCGATCTACGATCAATTTTATTCCGGAAAGCAATTTGAGGTGTTAACACCTCCAGCGATATTTGTAACTAATCTAATTTAACGAGCACGTGTTTTTTTAACATGTTGTTTGCTAACTACAAGTGACATGCTGTAGGGTACTAACGTAATTCACGTGAATATTTTAGACACTCGTTTTTATTGGTGGAAAATCGATAACCATGCACCGACTGGTTCTCATTTGTTGACTTTTTGTTTTGAGAAAATTAAAGAAAAAAAGAAATAGAGATAAACAGATTAGATAAAATAAGTAAATAAAAATCAACAGATAAATAGAAATAAACAGATAAAGAAAAAATAAACAAATAAATTAGTAATTATAAATAAGTAAATAGATAAATATAATTTTTTTCTTGAAAAAGTAATATTTCATACTTTGATGAAAACGTCACATCATGATTTTTTACTCTTACTGTTCGTTCTAAAACTCGATAGATAAGAGGATCTTTGCGGCGTTCTATGGGTTGTTTACCCGACGTTCTATGAGTTGTTTACCCGACGATCTCTGGGTTGTATACCCGACGATCTCTAGGTTGTTTACCTGACATTCTATGGGTTGTTTACCCGACGTTCTATGAGTTGTTTACCCGACGATCTCTGGGTTGTATACCCGACGATCTCTAGGTTGTTTACCTGACGTTCTATGGGTTGTTTACCCGACGTTCTATGAGTTGTTTACCCGACGATCTCTGGGTTGTATACCCGACGATCTCTAGGTTGTTTACCTGACGTTCTGTGGGTTGTTTACCCGACGTTCTGTGGGTTGTTTACCCGACGTTCTATGGTTGTTTACCCGACGATCTCTGTTTATCCGACGTCTATATGTGTTGTTTATCCGACGTTCTGTTATATACCCGACGTTCTATGGTTGTTTACCTGAGGTTATATGGTTGTTTATCCGACGTTCTATGGTTGTTTACCCGAGGTTATATGGATTGTTTACCCGACGTTCTATGGTTGTTTATCCGACGTTATATGTGTTGTTTATCCGAGGTTATATGGGTTCTTTACCCGAGGTTATATGGTTGTTTATCCGACGTTCTATGGTTGTTTACCCGAGGTTATATGGATTGTTTACCCGACGTTCTATGGTTGTTTACCCGAGGTTATATGGTTGTTTATCCGAGGTTATATGGGTTCTTTACCCGACGTTCTATGGGTTGTTTACCTGATGTTCTATGTTTTGTTTACCCGACGATCTATGGTTTGTTTACCCGGCGTTATATGGGTTGTTTACCCGACGTTCTATGGTTGTTTATCCGAGGTTATATGGATTGTTTACCCGACGTTCTATGGTTGTTTATCCGACGTTCTATGGTTGTTTACCCGAGGTTATATGGATTGTTTACCCGACGTTCTATGGTTGTTTACCCGAGGTTATATGAATTGTTTACCTGACGTTATATGGTTGTTTATCCGACGTTCTATGGTTGTTTACTCGAGGTTATATGGATTGTTTACCCGACGTTCTATGGTTGTTTACCCGACGTTCTATGGGTTGTTTACCTGATGTTCTATGTTTTGTTTACCCGACGATCTATGGTTTGTTTACCCGGCGTTATATGGGTTGTTTACCCGACGTTCTATGGTTGTTTACCCGAGGTTATATGGATTGTTTACCCGACGTTCTATGGTTGTTTATCCGACGTTCTATGGTTGTTTACCCGAGGTTTTATGGATTGTTTACCCGACGTTCTATGGTTGTTTACCCGAGGTTATATGAATTGTTTACCTGACGTTATATGGTTGTTTATCCGACGTTCTATGGTTGTTTACCCGAGGTTATATGGATTGTTTACCCGACGTTCTATGGTTGTTTACCCGAGGTTATATGAATTGTTTACCTGACGTTATATGGTTGTTTACCCGACGTTCAATGGTTGTTTACCCGACGTTCTATGGTTGTTTACCCGAGGTTATATGAATTGTTTACCTGACGTTATATGGTTGTTTACCCGACGTTCTATGGTTGTTTACCCGACGTTCTATGGTTGTTTACCCGAGGTTATATGAATTGTTCACCTGACGTTATATGGTTGTTTACCCGACGTTCAATGGTTGTTTACCCGACGTTCTATGGGTTGTTTACCGGACGATCTATTAATTGCTACCAATTCGACGAAGACATAAAGACACAATTTTATATGAAACGTAATGAAGTGAAATTATGGTATTTCATTCATATGATATCTGTCTGAGAATTTAAAAGAAATAAATATGGTTAAAGTATTTAATGTTCATCACACTATAAGGACATTCATTCATTCATTTCGAAAAAATCATTTTTCTGTGTTACTGATTAAAACACCGTTACATTTCAGATATCTAGAAGTTCGATGCACTATTTTTTATAACAATCAATTGACACACACACACATATATATATACATTTAACATATTCATGTACATATAGAGTACATATTTATATATACAGAGAGAGAGAGAGAGAGAATATGCTCTACATAGTACGGCGGCCAATGCTACTTGGAAATACCACTTTTCAATTTTAAAATTTATTTAAAAACGATCGCTTATCATCAATACAGTTATATTTAGAGCTGACATGGAATTTCTTCAGGGAAAAAACACGTGGTTACTACTTATTACATGTGCAGGCGTTGATAGAAGTCGTTTGAAGGTCATGTGAAGTCACGTACACAACTACAATTTGATACACAGTTTAAAGTCAAATGAAGGACATCCACAGGAACTTTAGACAAATACTGAATTTCTTATTCACGGCATGTCTATTCTAATGCAAAGAAATTGAGGGGGGTATCTTTAGGAATCATGATTCATAAACGGAACAGTTAAAGATTTTCCCGATAAGAACTCTCAACGTTGCGATGCTCGTGATAACAATGACGGGCGGATTTCTACAAAGTTGAATTTCTCCCATATACGATACAACATCATGTATGATAACAACGACTAAAAGTCTTTATCAAACTAAAAAGTGCAATACCTGAAACCAAATCTAAAGCAATTGGGATATTCCAGTATTTCATTCATTCCATGTAAAATGTCTAAAACAATTAACCTGGGTTAGCTCCCTTAGTATTTAATCAGGAAAACCTCGCCATATTGGTCTCATATATAACGGTATATTTATGTAAACGCTCCTCTGTTATGTCACGTGACGAGCGTTTATATGTTACCTAGAACTTCAATTAACAGTCCTTCGTTTATTTACCGTAAAACTTCCTTGAACATAAATTAATTATGAATCTGTCAGCGTTTCCACGAAAGATTACAATATTGTTTTTTTTATTATTATTTTGGTAAAATACCGAAAAATTCAATATCGGAAACACAAACGTGAACAATTAAACGACATTCGCTTGCCTAATGTAAAAGCTGCGACCGGAAGTAAACTTTTAACGGGAAATAACTCTTAAGATAATTACCTGATGTCTCCAGAAATTCTTCTACGACGAGCTGCTGCTTCAAGATCGTCAATGCTATCTGTAAACATAAATGAAACAGTTCAAATTAAGAAATAAACAACCGAGATATAACGAATAGATCCTGCAGGAGTCGAGGTGCACACCGTTGTCTGATATTTAAAGTTGGATCTTTGCCCTTCTTTTATACTTCTGTCATTGCTCCTGATTATACGAAAATTGTAAATTTCTCTGCAGAAATAGCGATGATAATCTTTCATTATTGAATAGAATATGGCCGCCTGTCAACTGTTTCTATGATTTCATCATTGCCAAAATCAACAGGGCGCAACCAGGATCTAAGGGGTACCTACATAAACATTTGAGAAAGATCCATCCAGTGCTTTTCCCAAAATATCAATAGCAAATTTCCTTTGTCAAATTAGCATATGGCTGTTTGTCAGCAATTTTCGTGTTCTTATCGGCGCCAAAAACCAAACGGACACAATAACGGAACAACAATAACGTATATATGAAGCACGAGAATTACCATCAAATACTTCTCAAGAAATAACCATAACAAATTATCATTGACAAAAACCAAAATGGCCGCTTGTCAGCCATCTATTTTTTCGACCAATCTCAAAAAAAAGCTGCAATACAATTGGGATCAAAATGAGCCTACGTATGAAATTTGAGATAATCTCTTCTGTACTTGTTTTCCCGATCAATCTCAAAATCAGACAATACTGCACCAAAAGGAAACTACATAATGAAAAATGTAGTAAGCCAGTGTCAATATATACATACCTTCAAAACTGTCGTCATATATTGATAATTCTTATAAAGTTATTTCTAGAGGGAAATAGACAGCATTATGCTCAAAAAGTGTGAGATCCTGTTTTTGTAATTAAAGCACCTTCCATGCTACGATTCATACAAAGCATTTAATTCTACCATACCCGGGGATCGGCCAGGATCAATATAGACATACCATCACCCTTTAACTCATGATTCTAACCAGGTTTGAAATATTTCCAATGGATATAATACAAATTATGCTCAAAAATGAATTTTTCTATATAAACTATAGTAAACTTTACTCCCTCTCCACGGAGAAATGTGAGACCCTGTCGCCATGAAATTCCCAAATTCAGCACCTTAAGATCCTTCCATCAATGAAGAGCATTTGATTCTACCATATCTGGATGTTGAGAAGAAGACTTTTTTAAATTCAAGTCAATTTGACCCCTTTAAGCCCCGTCCATCAGCCCTGTGGGTCAGTCAGGATCAATGTGGGCATACCATCAAGCCGTCATCCTTCAACTCATAATTCTTCAAAAGTTTGAAATATTTTCAATGGATATTAAACAAATCATGTTCAAAATCTATTTTCCTATAAAAACTTTAATAAACTGTACCCCTCCCCATGGGGAAATATGGGACTCTGGTGCCATGACATTTACTATTTTGGTAAAGCACCTTAAGATGCTTTCATTCATGAAGAGTATTTGATTCTGCAGTATCTGCTGTTGAGAAGAGGATTTTAGAAATTCGAGTTAATTTTACCACATTTGGTCCCGCCCCTCAGGCCCCTGCGGGGTGGGGACTATATAATGCACAATTTTAGTTCATCTTAGGTCAGGGAAGGTTTCTGCAAAAGTTCATTAAAATCGGATCAGGAGTTTTTGTGAAGTCGAAAATGTTAAATTGTTTACAGACGCACGAAGCCGAAGAAGGTGATCTTAATAGGTCACCATGAGACTTTGTATAAGGTGAGTTAACACCAACGACAAAATAACCCGCGATAAAAAGTAAAAACTCCTCACTTTTATATATGCTGCACCAGCATCCAGATAACATCCAGATCCTAAAAACCGAAAACTATTCCTATTTCTATACTATTGTCCATATTTATACATTGTACATGTACATTTCACGTATGTTACTGCTATATAATGAGATCACCTGATCTCACGATATCGCCTTAGCGCACCACCAGTACGACGCCATTGTCAAGTGCTGTCGATTTCATCTCAAATCATGACGTCATAATTGGAATGAAAGTCTCGCCCAAGCAGCGATATCTTTCCAATAAAATGTGATTGTGATGATGATAACACGAGACATGCTTTTCATTTCTACATATTTTTTACTGTACAACAGAGCCTCCTATATCACATGACAAAATATGTGAAAGATACAAAGACTTGTTAGCATAAATAGTCGGTTCTACAAAGCAACTGACCTATTTAATTATATAGTATTTATCTTCTGATGTCTATTTGAAAAATCGGATAGAAGAAGAAGATGAAGAAGAAGAAGAAGAAAACAGAGAAGAAGGGAGATAACTCCTACAGAAATCCTTTTCACAATATACTTCCACTAACTGATAAAGGAGCCTGTGTCCCTAAAAATCAATTAAAATTTCAATGAGAATAAAAAAAATTGCTGTCTTCGCCGTCAGCCATGTTTTTAACCCTAACGTTATCACACGAACCTCAAAAGAAAAACATACAAAACAGCGATATGGTAGGGAATCATTTTCCGTTGTACTATATTTTATTTTCAGGTTTTTCTATACATAAAAATAAAAATAAAGATATATAAATATGGTCTATTTCTTCATTTGTAAATAACTATTCTGTTGCAGAAAGCGATCAATTAAATTCCTGTCTTGTAATATTTTATCAACCACATGATGTGCAGGTCAAATCTGACTGGCTGTCGGTTAAGAAAGGATTCGGTTAAAATCTGAAGGTATGTTAGTACATCAAGAAACAACGCGTTTATTCCCATAAGAAAACATATCCTGATGACAAACAATCCGCAGAAAAGATCTCTTAACTTCCATCTCTTTTTCATATATTTTTATTCATTGGAAACAAACTCCACAGATAAGCCAAAAGTTTTAGAGAGAAGTATCCAGAGAGATAGAATTCTCAATGTCCGGTTGTGATGAAATGTGTTACAAATCATGAAAGATATTAAAATACAGATGTTAAAACATTAAAATACTCATAAATATTTATATGTAACCTTGAAGGTGGGGTTCTGAGAGCGAATACACGTAAAGATAATAACTAACAGTGAAAACTGTTATAAACACGATATCAATCGCTAATCTGACAATAAATATCAGTGGATCTGTTGATTCACCCAGGCCACCAGGGCTCAAACTATACAGCTTTTATATAATAATGCTGACGTAAGCTAGAAGACCAAACATAAAGTGAAGGAAGTAGACAAGCAAGGAAACAAGTAAAGAGAGAGAGAGAGAGAGAGAGAGAGAGAGAGAGAGAGAGAGAGAGAGAGAGAGAGAGAGAGAGAGAGAGAGAGAGAGAGAGAGAGAGAGAGAGAGAGAGAGAGAGAGAGAGAGAGAGAGAGAGAGAGAGAGAGAGAGAGAGAGAGAGAGAGAGAGAGAGAGAGAGAGTCGGTCACTGATTCCAGTCGCTTTCCTTGATCATCGATACTTGTGTCTCACTAGAAAGTACCATATCTTAAGTGCCTTCAGTCTTTATCTTCGTGTAACTGTTTCATCACTTCCTGTGCGAACTACGTTTAAATATGACTCTAGTTTTTATCAACCTTTAACACACGAATGTATTTTAAAATGTGCCATCAGTTTTTGTATATCTCATTTTCACATAGCAAAAATACACCCCTGTACATTGCAAACAATCTACACTTATAGGATAATTAGATATCGAACTGATATTCATCAAATCTCTTTCTAAATAACTATCACACCAGTCCAAAGTCTGATATATATATATATATATAAAGATCACACCTACTAATTCTTAATAAGATAAGCCTTTGATTTTAAATCAATTTTTCAATGATACAAAATCCGTCTCAGCTTTGTAGGACTCACGCAAATAAATCTGCCAATGAGAGACTAGGATTCTGTTTCTCCTGTTAGAGTCCCTACCGAAACTGAGAATTGGTAAAAGATTATGCCCTCTGTGGGTTTAAATTGAAATCACGTGCAAAAAATCGGCATTGATTGCGCTTCATGAAAATCTAAAGTTTCAACACATTTCAATGTATCTGGGGCGGACTTAGACAGGTGTAAAATGCCAGAGGTTTTCCCCAGGTAGGTACTTAGTTTCACGCGTAAACTTCTGTTATTGAATTCTGAAGGTGATGGCAGTCCGAGATGCTATTTAAAAATAAATTATGTCATTTATAACCTTTGACAGGTATATTTCTATGAATCTAGACAGTCGTTTTGTGCTGAACTTAAAATATTAATGCTATTAGCTTAAATGCTAAGTAATATCATATAGTGATTGATTTAGTCACGTGAGTCCTTGTTGCAATATAGGTTATCAAATGACCTTGTATGATTACTTTGTCACGCAGGTGGTCTAGGTATTCACTTCTGTTATTTCTATAATCTATTGTTCAAGCGTAAAATAAATTATTTTAGTATCACAATTGTTTTTCAACAGAAAGTCCCTTTAAAGATGGTATCTCTACCTGTGTGCTCTATTATATCATTGTTACTATTGTCAAATAAGCTGAAGTAAGTACATCGCCTTGAGGCCCACCGCCGAGAACCAGATAATCAAATTCCGCATAAAAACAAGCATTTAGATGAATATGAATATATCACAAACACAAAGATGAATGTGACTTTTCTAAAAACATTTCACGTGCATGCATTGCTTTGTCTATACCACCCATACCGTCTTCCCATGTAAAATATATCAAATAGAGAATAAAAGGGGACAAACTAGGGTGAACAAAGGGACCAAACCGACTTACCATCAAACACAGGTAAATGATGACTACTATCGTTCATGGATACCCCTGATGACGTGGACATTTCTTCATAATCCCGTGACCCGATCGACCCTGAAGGCTTACGCGACCTTGTCTTGTTAAATGCGGTCATCTCCATGGTGTCCAGTTTCTGATTAAATCGATGATCCAATCTTTGACCAGCGTTTCTGTTCCGGTACGTATCTGAGAGATATCTTTGTAAAATTGTCTGTTTGTAGGGCTTGTTCTGAGATCCTGTGTCTAATGGCGGCTTTAACTGTGTAAGGCTTGAATAATAATCGGTCTGATTCATTGTTGGTGTCTGAGATCGCGAGGGCACGAGATCCCTCTCTTCGTCATCCTGTTCCATTGGTTCTGACGTCATTTCCGGTTGATTCGAATGTGACGAACGGAAAAGGCGGCTTTCATCTGGAAAAATACATGTAAGATAAATTGAGGGGAAGTAAGAAATGAAAATATATATATATATAGCAATTAACGGTTTGCATGTTACATGAATAAAAATTAATCTTTATAAGAATTCAATTAATTCTAAAACATTTTAAATATGCCAACAACAACACGACAAAAAAAACAAAGCAACAAATAATGGCCTCTAGTTTAGTTTGTATGAAAGTTGCTGCTGGACTAAGACCGGAAGCACCACTGGTAAAACAAAAAGTACACCCTTTCATCTCCTACCTAAATCATTTTTTACTATCACAATGAAACAAAACTCTAATCGAAGCAAAATATTCTTGAACTACTAGATCGGTGAGGTCTTACTAACGTTACTATCCCCTCCCCTCCCAACCGGTTTGCGCAAGCCGACCCACCAGCAACCAAATACCCAGCCATCCTCCCTATCTTCTGTCATCCATCCGCTCCCAACTCGATCTCCCGTCAGACCATCGATTACTAATCAAAGCTCCCCTCCCAATCCCGATATCAATCCGCTCCACATCCAACTCAAACTCTTTATTCTATTTCCCGCTCACCTCTCGTGACCACAACCTTATCTCCAACTAACCTCTCGTAACCACAACCCTATCTCCCACTAACCTTTCGTAACCCAAACCTTATCACCCACTAACCTCTTGTAACCCCAACCTTATCTCCCGCTCACTTCTCGTAACGCCAACCCTATTTCCCGCTTACCTCTCGTAACCCCAACCTTATCTCCCGCTCACCTCCCGTAACGCCAACCCTATCTCCCGCTCACCTCCCGTAACGCCAACCCTATCTCCCGCTCACCTCTCGTAACACCAACCCTATCTCCCGCTTACCTCTCGTAACGCTAACCCTATCTCCCGCTCACCTCTTGTAACGCCAACCCTATCTCCCGCTAATTCCTATCTCCCGCTCACCTCCCATAACGTCAACTCTATCTCCCGCCACCTCTCGCACGGACAGCACGACCTACCACTTGTAACCTTTTCCCTTGAAATGACATTTTTTTTCCAAGATGGTTCTTAAAAACATGATCACATCGACAGATTATCGAATTCTCATATCCACCTTCATGGAAGTCAATAATCTCAATCTCTTAGATGTCAAAGATATTATTTCTCTCGCTAATGTTATTTATGATATATTTGTTGTTTATTCTGATAACTTATTTTTGTTTGTTGTTTATCTAGATTTTTTTCTGAAAACAGAAAACTCGGATGCCTGTACTTTCTTGTAATTAGTTCTGCAATCAAAACGTCGATAAATAAAGGTCAGATGTACTTTCTAAATGTTACTATAATGAATGTCTCTAGGTGACACAGTTTCTATCTTAAAGTCCTGTCAAATACACGTTGATTGTGGATCCGAATAGCCTCGCCTCGTCTATGCTAATCAACTTGAAAACACTGGAAAGTTTAATATTGATTAAGCCATTAGAGAGACCGAACAGGCCTGAAGGCTTGGTACTCTCGTAACGTCGACACGATTAGGAATTGCATTAATCGTTTCATGGTGCCCAGATAGATTTCCTAATTTGAAGGCCGTTGTATCTTTTGCTCCCTCCCCATTTCTCCGATCTCATTCTTAAATCATCACCCAAACTACTTACTACATATCCCATCCCCATCCCAGCTCCTCCCAAAATCCCCATCCCAGCTCCTCTCAAAATCCCCATCCAAGCTCCTCCCAAAATCCCCATTCCAGCTCCTCCCAAAATCCCCATCCCAGCTCCTCCCAAAATCCCCATCCAACAAGCTCCTCCCAAAATCCCCATCCCAGCTCCTCCCAAAATCCCCATCCCAGCTCCTCCCAAAATCCCCATCCCAGCTCCTCTCAAAATCCCCATCCAAGCTCCTCCCAAAATCCCCATTCCAGCTCCTCCCAAAATCCCCATCCCAGCTCCTCCCAAAATCCCCATCCAAGCTCCTTCCAAAATCCCCATCCAACAAGCTCCTCCCAAAATCCCCATCCCAGCTCCTCCCAAAATCCCCATCCAAGCTCCTCCCAAAATCCCCATCCCAGCTCCTCCCAAAATCCCCATTCCAGCTCCTCCCAAAATCCCCATCCCAGCTCCTCCCAAAATCCCCATCCAAGCTCCTCCCAAAATCCCCATCCAACAAGCTCCTCCCAAAATCCCCATCCCAGCTCCTCCCAAAATCCCCATCCAAGCTCCTCCCAAAATCCCCATCCTAGCTCCTCCCAAAATCCCCATTCCAGCTCCTCCCAAAATCCCCATCCAACAAGCTCCTCCCAAAATCCCCATCCCAGCTCCTCCCAAAATCCCCATTCCAGCTCCTCCCAAAATCCCCATCCAACAAGCTCCTCCCAAAATCCCCATCCCAGCTCCTCCCAAAATCCCCATCCCAGCTCCTCCCAAAATCCCCATCCTAGCTCCTCCCAAAACCTCTCTCAGGTAACCATCTCTCCGAGACACAAAGCCAAAACTATCTCACGTAATCATCTCTCCCGGACACAGATCCGAAACTATCCCAGTTTATTATCTTTTTCGGACAGAAACCTAAACAAACTCAATTAATGCTCTCTCTCGGACAAAGACCCCAAACTATCCCAAATATATCTCTCTCGAACAGAGACCCCAAACTCTCCCACATAACTCTCTCTCGGACACAGACCCCAAACTCTCCCACATAACTCTCTCTCGGACATTCTGAAGTCATCCCGGTTTATCCTCTTTTCCGTTCCACAGAGAATTGTTTCTCTAAACACAAGATCCTACGTATAACAATATCTCGTTTAATCATAACAAGACTGTGAGTTTTCTCTCCATCGGTTCAAAGTTTCTGATGTGACAAACATTCTAATGTAAAACATCAGCAAAGAAATCGAAATCAATCCAAAGATTCAACGCCATATTGACAGAAGTCATTAATGTCAGGAAAAAAACCCGGATCATGGCCGGAAAGTAAACCCTATTAATCCATAAGAAAGCCACTGAACGATGTGACGTGGTACTCGATCAACTTCTTGGCAGTAGTCGCACCATGTATAGACACGGAATACGTACATTCACGGTTTATATATAGCTTGGTTTCTAGGCTATTGCCGAACTGGGGAAGAAAACCGTATCACAGATCAATAATTTGGGTATCCCTACGCCGGTTTTATTCCGAAAACAACGGGTGACTCATCTCGAGAAATATAGATTTCGACAGTACCAAGTCTACGTGGATGCTATTAAGAAAGTCACGTGATCTACTCAAAACCTACATAGTATTCTAAGCTACGAATGATATAATATTGATTCAGAAATATTTCAAACCATCGCTTTCTGTGATATATCCATGTGTGTAAGCTCTAGATTTTAGAATTTGTCTTTGCCAAATCCATGCAGTCAGCGTTTGTGCTTTTGTTTTTGTTTCGTTTTTTCGTTTTTTCGTTTTTTGTTTGTTTGTTGTTTGTTAAGTTTTGTTTGTTTGTTTGTTTGTTAAGTTTTGTTTGTTTGTTTGTTTGTTAAGTTTTGTTTGTTTAGGTGGGTGGAGTTGGGACGAAGAGGCAATAATAGTGAAAAATAACGAAAACAAAGAAAAAGGACACGGGACAAGAAGGAAAGGCCGAGATCATAAGTGTTTAAATGGCGATATCAAAGTCCTCATATTATATGACACGGAAGGAAACATCGATTCTCCAGCGGCGACCAATTTTACTATCTTTTATCAATATTGTAGTATCGTGGTATATTGTACTTTGTTGAGTGAACCACAATCAAATATAGATCTATAGCAGTCCTAAACTCTTGCTTCGTCATCCTACAACGGTTTCCTCCTTTGAACCCATGCACCCTTTCTTTTCCCCTTCCCTGTACTTATGCACTTACTTAATTACATTATGTTGTCAGTGCTGTCCATTGCCCATGTAATTAGACACGGAGACAGATTAATATAAGTACATTGTACTTGTTTCTGAATCCAAAATGCATATTTGCTTTTGTACTGTACTCATTTCACAAAATAAAATACAGTTTAAACTAATATTGTAGATCGTACAATAGAAGGTTAGAGGAATGCTCCCTAACCTGTCAATGTGTCCACATTTAGTCGTGTTTCCGACACGTAATATGAAAGCGAAAGGGTTTGGATCCTAGAAAGGACAATCGTTTTATTCTAAAAAAAAATATGCCAACATGTAAAGAGACAAAATGGTTAGATTTTCATTTCATAACTCAGAAAATTATGACATTTAAATATTTGTTAAAAGGTGTGCATTTTCTGTTAATTATAATATCTAAAAATTTGCATAACCATTTCATACAAAATGTCAAAATACGAAAAAACAGGACTGACCCAACACTCTCAGATCTAAACAACTATTGGCGGTAGACAGCGAGAGTCGATTAGCGTTGATTTAAAGCCGATAATCTTTACCAATTTCCTTTTAAAATTGTTTTATTTTGGTGAAGATCCTTATTTTAACTATTACAATTATGAACGAAATCTAACCATATAGTCCATTTAATCAAAACACAGCCTGTTTATCTCGGATCGATACACCGTCTCCTCTTGGCGTCATAATTCAATTATTAAATAATAATCAATATTATCGATATGATGATATAATATGTATGTCCTGAGAGTATACTCTTTATGTATATGATTGTTGTAGTGCGTGTGCAATAAAACCTTCCCGTATGCTAACCAATAACCGCGGTCAAGATTTCCCCGTTTTTACGAGAAGTGACTCACATTTACAACTAATGGCATTCTGGGAAATTTCGGCATACCAATACATCGAGATATTAAGTATTCAGATTAGAATTGTACATGTATTATATTATACTAGCTTTTGTATTTGAGATATTTTGTGCTAGTGAGAAGCCACTTGTATCTGTCGTCTATCTCACCAGTGAAACAAGGCCAAACTTCCTGTTCAAGAGTGACACATTTTGACATGTCTCCAAATTTTTTCCGTCTTTTTTTCCTATTTGTGATCGACACATTTCCTATCACTGTAATTTAGGTCAG